AATTCCCACAGATCTCAAATAATTAATGCCCAAGAATTGCACCCATATTATCATTTCTTTAAATTTTCATTTATGAAATTTCCGAGTTTGGTACATTCAGATTGAACTGTTTTTATTATCAAGGGGTGCATTTTTTTCTGTTGAGACCATTTGGTCAAATCCTTTTTACTGCTGGGCTTTGGTTTGGGTTTTTGGCTTGGCAAAAAAAATTGGGGTTGCCACTTAGTGCTACCCCAATAAACCGCCACCCCCGTTAAACCGCCAAATTTGTCCTGGACAAACATTGGTGGTTTAACTAGGTTTGACTGTATTAAAATATCATCACAACACATGTTTCATTATAACAATTTTTTTAGTCCTGACAGGAATCCTACAGGGTAATTATTATGTAAATCTCATTACAAAAAAATTGCTGATTCCAGTTCAACAAACTTTCTTAAGGAACATGTCATGATTTCTTAATGAAAAATCCCCAATGAAGGCATGCACAGTCTCACACTTCCCATTCAAATTATGACTGAATATAGTTCTTGGGACACAGGGTAGAATCTAGGACAAGAATTCTACAATATTTACTTGAACTCCCTCTCTCACAAAAATAGTTCCTGTAGGTTATGAACAGGGTTGTTAATTGTGCCACAATCCTGCACAATCGAAATCACAATTCTTGCGATTTTGATTGTGCATATAAAAATCTGAAAAAAAAATTTTGATTTCAATTGTGAATTTAATTTTTTTACGCTTGCGATTGTGCAAAAAGCAACTCAATCAAAATAACAATTCTTTGTTTAATTTTTATGGTAATTTCTCAGCAATCATTTATTAAAAAGTGTTTCAAATGGGAAAAAATCAGTTTGTTTTTGAATTCTGAAGAAGTTTTGTTCATCTCAGAATTATGATTTTTTACAAGAGGGTAGCTTCCTTCATTGATGATATAATGATTTCCTTCATTAATAACAGCAAGAATGCTATTTTAGATATTACTTTGAATAGGTATTTGAAAGTAATCTAGTAAAAGTAGAATGACACATGAACCACAATCAATTACATGACCCAAAACAGAAACTGTACAGATAATAAGGTTCATAAAAAAAATGAGAGGGCTACAGTCCAACTGGGATGGATAGCTTCCAGGGTCCAGGCTGTGATATGAAACACAGAACTGAAACCCAGAGCAGGTCCTAGCACCAGAGAACTGTTAAGTGGAATGATATTCAGCAAGAAAATGCATCCATTTTATACTGAGTTTTCTACCTTTCTCATGAGAATCTCAGACACAGCAAGGATAAAGATAGGGTTTTTAAACAAATTTTACACATCAATGGGCAAATGATTGCCAACAAGTTGGGGAGGTCTAGCGGGTGGCAGTAGTGTGTGTGTCCGCAGAGAGGGGAGGGGAAGGAAGGGAGAGGCCACATGCCAGCCAACTGCGAGGGTGACATCCCCCGAACTTCGTGATTGGAAGCATGGTGAGGCTCTCTGCTCCGCCTCCCACAATTGGTTCGCTACCTCTGCTGGGGTCCGTTTTGCCACGCCTACACGCTGGTGGTGATGGGGGGAGGGAATGGAGGGAGAGACACCTTAGGACCGCGCGAGTGGAGCAGAAACTTGCATAGCTTGTCTCGCGCTCGAAGCGTTCGGTTATGCATGTGTGAGTCAAGTAGCAAACACACGCACGGTACATAAAAAGACTGGTGAAAAACCTCAGTTTGGGTTCGTGTTTTTAAATATACCCCACGGCAAGAACGGAAGGATACGAGAAGGAGGAATAATTATTTCCCATTTGAGAAAAATCGCGGAAATACTGAGTGAAGCAGTGGTTATTTTAAAAATCAATGGTCGGCTCTGAAATGGTTGTGGCCGCGCCGACATCTCCAGCCCTGGCGGACCAGACTCAGCACAGTGACGACGGTGGCGCGGACACCAAGACTGCCGCAACAGTCGCCGCCACCCCGTTGGCAACCCCCAAGACCCGTTTCACTTCTTTCTCCGTCGCGTCGTTGCTTGCCGACACACCCAGACACAGCGAAGATGACGAGGATATCGAGACCGAGGCGGCGAAACAACGGCTACGACTCATCGGCGCCTCACTTCATGGGCCCCGGGATGACGACAGCGACGACGTGAGCAAACGCGGGGACGCCTCCGAAGACATGGATGCGTCGGATGACGTTGACGATGATGACGACGACGAAGACATCGTTGTCGGGGATGAAGATGATGTTGTGTCTGCTGCTGCGGCAGCGGCGGAACACCGTGGCAGAAGTGCGGAGTTTTTGCGCCACGCAGCAGCAGCAGTGGGTTCGAGGCTCATGGCCCCGATGCCCGGGGTCCCAGTGCCACCGGGTCTGCTGCACAGGCCGTCCCCGTTTGGGCCGTATCAGTTTCCGTCGCCCGGTGCCGGCGCCGCTGGTGGCGTATGGCCCTCGAATCCGTTCGGCGCCATGCCCTGGCTTCCTGGGTCCCCGTTCTCCGGTTTGGGTAAGTTTTCAATCCTGATATTTTACCCTCAGTTCTCCTTCTCCCTTATACTGTTTTCCTTTTTTTTTTTCATTGTGTGAGCCAATTTTGATTCTCCTCGATATGAGTAAAACCGAAATTTTCCTGGTAGCCTGCTGAGATATACCCATTTTTGTGGACGCCGTTAGCATTTCGTTGATCTCGAAGAGGTAATGTTTTGTTTTACGGAAATGCTTAATGCTAAATTGTTTTGAATGTGGACCCAGCAAAAGCTGCGCGTCTTTTGGCAAATTTCATTATTTAGGGGTGTCTGGGGGAATTTTCATCAACCGTCTCGTCAAAATCTTGAATTTGGGAAAGAAACAGTTTTTCAACGATATGTACAGTTTTCTTGAAACGAAACAATAATGATTCAAAAGGTTTATTTTCATTGCAAAAGTTTTCCGCGATGATTCAAATGAAGTACAATATTTCGAATGCACAGTATCATCTTTTATCCTCTTTTGGCGATGGTAAACGAAGAGAATTAAATTTTCGTCATCCTGGACAATCTCTTGGCATACGAAAACCATTGATCACTTTTGAATTAATAAAATTAACAGTAGGACTGTTCAGCACATAACGCTCATGCGATTTCTGGATTTCAGAACCTTTTTTACAGCCTTATAAATAGCTAAATGTGACTTTGCAACTTTAAATATGAATTATAAATATTTCTCATCCTTATGCATTAAGAATAATGCAGGAAAATGCGTCAATTTGTTTAAATTATCTTTTGAAGGAATTCAAACCAAATCCGAATGATCATAAACATTCAACTGGATAAAGTAATTTGCTTGGAATAATCTGAGTAAATAATTGACGTACAATAAAAAAATCAAAGCATAGGCGTCAGCAATTATGCTTGTGAAAATTAGTATCTCAGTTTCAACTCTCATCATTGCTGAAATGTTTTCGTACAACTATACTAGATGTTGTTGTGGTGATTGACTAAATCAAATGATCAACCAAAGTTCAAAAACTGAAATTGAAATAACAATGATACCGTCCCTTCCAAAACAATTTGGGTTTTAGATCGATGAATCGTTGTGCGGAACATTTTTTTTTTCACCTCGAAAGTCACCAAGGGAACAAATCTGTCTGTTCAACTGGGAAAGGATGGGACTAATTGATGACACCTACTTTTAAGAGAAGAATTTTCACTAGATTTTGAAAGTTTTTCCCGAAGTATCAACCATTAAAGGTTGAGGAATGGGATTAAGCGATTTGTCACACAAATGAAATTCCAGATTTTATTGTGGACAATTGATGCCGTTCAAAAGAATAGGTCTTCCAAAGAGACAATGAAAGAGTAAGGGTTTCAGATGCGGCCTGTGAGGTCGTTCCCGGGGTTTCCTATTAGGGCACGTCAGCAAACAAACCCTGACAGAAGAAAAGGCAAAAGGCCGGCAATGATGATCCCAGATCTAGAAGCAGAAGCCACCCCGCGGGCTTGGCATCAAATCCGCGTGGGACTCGAGAAATGTTCCCCGATTTCACACACTTTCCCCCAACAGTGTCCGTTTTTTTTATATTTTGGCACAAAAGACAGTGTGAGAAGAAGGAAAGAAAGAAAGCTTCAGCTGCCTCTCGCTGATCATCACATGGCTCACAGCAGGTGTTAATCCTTTTTTCGGGGGATGACAAGAACCACCGCGCGAGGCAACCAGCAAACAATGGCTCAGAAGCCCGAGTCGAAATTGAGAATGTTGATGCCGTGATTGATCGCGGAACCAATCATGATTCCACCCACCTGTGTTTTGTTTTCTGTTTTTTTCCTCCCCTTCGATTTCACTCAGGCTTGGTCATCAGTCACTCATCTGGGGTTTTTCTCTTCTTCTTGGGCGGTTGAAGGCGTTGTTAGCCGGTCCGGTGATCATGAGCCCTAACGTGCGCAGCAAACACGTGATTTGTCTTGGGGCAAAATCAATCGCAATGGGCAATCGTTTCTCTCCCTCTCTTTTTCTTGCTCTGCTCTTCTCCGGTGGGCTTTTCCTCTCCCCCTAAGGAAACATTCCCTCCCACACAGGCAACATAATTGGCCCCAAAGGGACAATCTGAAACTAATGACCAATTACTCATCCCAGCCACCAACACCACCTTGTCGCAGAGAACGAGAAACCATCTGCAAGCAATGATCATCACACATCGACCCCAGGCTTGATGTTTTTCGGACAGCTATCCTTGTGCCATTGTTCTAACTTCGATTTTGCTCTTATTGAGTTCCCCTTTGGTGCATATTTTCCTTTCCAGTTGAAAAAAATGTTTATCCTCCTTCTCCTTTCCCCTCAGTCGTGGGAATATGTCGGACAAATTTGTAATTGCACAGAGTTGTTAATCACGGAATTGGTGTTCCACGCTTGGCTGACTCGAGGTTCAGTCGGTCTTTATTGTTTCTTCTCAAATCCCCCGGATTTTTTGCCAATTTTTCGGCGAAACCGAGAATAAGAAATTCTTTTTTTTTGTGCGATCTGACCCGACAGAAGCCGCGTGAGAAAGGAATGCATCAGGAAGATTCTTTTCTGGCCGCGTGTCTTCTAAAAAGTTTACCCTTCTTTGTTGTGAAGGACGGTTTGATCGGATTTTTGCTGCGACGTGCGAGGTCCTATTGTTGGCATATCTTATTTTCTTTTGGACAGAGAAAAACGCTTTTTGCTTCATTTAGCTGGGTTTCGATGAGGCTTTTTTTTGGCTTTGGCCGCGTGGGAAAAGTTGGTTTGTTCCTCCGACTCAGATTTCTTCTGGTGATTATCCTTCCAATAGAAACGCGCTCATAGCTCGGATTAACGCAGAAATTCGTCTTAAAATTGCCTAAATCCGTCAAGATGACAGTTTTCTGTCTGGCCCCATGATGTCTGCGATTTTAACCGGCAACATAAAATATTCGGTTTTCTTGAAGGATGGTGCAAGAGTCCCTGAGCCCTGAAAAAACGCCGGCTCATTGAAAATCTTTCTATATATTGTCGGCAAATTTCAAGAAAATACTTTAAAAGAAGAAATGCGATGATTTAGAAAGTAGTTTTCCATAACAAGAATTTGCATAAGTTCGTATTTATTTTTCTCTCATGTTTTTTTTTTAAATTGAGAAATCATAAAATGCACTTCACTCCACTTCGTTTTTTTTGCGGAATGTGAGGTGGAATCTAGCCATGGTTCAATCTTCTACAAAACGTTCACTCAACTGTTGAGCAGTGACTTCAAAAACTTTCAATTTTCCCGAAATGCTTGGTGTACAAATTTCGAGAATTGAAGTATTTTAACTTCTGTATGAGTGAATTGGAAGCGTTATTCGAATCATATTAAACAATCTCATTTTCCCTTGATCTGTTTGAAAATTGGCTGTGCTGCTGGAATTTTTTGGAATGTCTCATTTCTACCAGACCTTCCGGCGTTTTTCCGGAGTCATTTCGAGGAGAGTAAACGGGGTTTTGCACCCATAAAGCTGTTTCTTGACTCGAAGCTTTCTCTCATTTTTCTGCATATTTTACTTAAATTTCGTATTTGTCACAATTCAAGGTTCTCACGGTTTCTTCCTTCTTTTGTCCATTGCAGGTGGAGAGCCGCCGAAATTGCCACCGACACAGCTCAAGTGTCACTTGCGGAAACACAAAGCGAACCGGAAACCCCGAACCCCGTTCACCACCCAACAATTGCTGGCGTTGGAAAAGAAATTCCGGCAAAAACAGTACCTCTCCATTGCAGAAAGGGCCGAATTCTCTGCATCCTTGAGCCTGACTGAAACCCAGGTCAAGATTTGGTTCCAGAACCGAAGAGCCAAGGCAAAGCGACTGCAAGAAGCCGAGCTGGAGAAGCTGAAAATGGCGACGCGGCCGCCGGTCGTCATGCCGTCGGCGTTCGGGTGTTGGCTGCCCACAGCTGCAGCTGCCATGTTTGCCGCTGCCAACGCTGCTGCCATGCAACCCAGGGTGCCGGGCCATGTGCCAGTGTCTGTGCCCATGTCCTTGTCCCACCAGACCATGCTGCCGCCGGGTTTAACATTCTCGATGGCCGGAGGTTTGCCCACCCCTCCGCCCGCTGCCCACCAACAGTCCCCGGTGATGTCCGGCGTTCGTCACTGATCTCATTCATCTAATTCCCATGGTTAGTATCTTTAAATATATTAGTGCATTAAATGTTAGTCAATCCGTTTCTCCGCCAACTTAAATTCTCACGCGTTTACGTTAGAAAGTCGAGCTTTCATCGAGATACAGGGACAACTGTTTTAAAAAAAAAATGTACTTTATATTCCGCGAGGACTTGACAAACATCAAACTGTTGATTTTCGAGAGTACTAATACTATAAACCAAAAAACTGTTCAGAAAAGTACGCCTATTGCATTTATAGACCATTTTTTGATGCAACGTGCATTTGTCCCCTGAAAAGAACGCATACTTTCACTTTTCTCCAACACTGCATACACTCTAAAATTATTGGAACTGAACAATGCATCCTAGAACTAGAAACTACGTTTTTAAGTGCAAGAATATTTCTAGTCTTCCTTATAAAAATTCAAGTTTTCGAAACTGTTATGAGCGATTTAGAATATCGAAAAATCTAGTAACTCACGTTTGACTCTTGGTATTATTTTGTGGATAAAATTGTGTTGAAGATTTCTTTTTTATCATCACTGTGGAAAGAAGCGATCAAATAATGAGACCGCCGTTGTGATAAAAGTAATTTCTTTCACCTCGAACCATGAAAAGGTATTGCATGCGATTAATCATGCATTAGGCTTGATTATTTTTCTTCAACCCGTTTCGAAAAATATTTTGCTATTATTTGAGCCAATATCTACGATCAATGGAAAGATTGGCAAAAGCTGAAGCTGTTGAGGTTAGAGCGAAAAGTAATTCCATTGTCGATTAATTTCGTGATCAACGGTTACATCCCTGGAGTTTTATCTGCTTCTTCGTTAAGGTATAATTATGTGCTTCATGTGATTGTCCGAGCAGCATAATTTAGAATCAGCGAAAAGTCGTAGTACTGGAAAGTTTGTAAGACACTTCAGCACTCAATTTCGAGGAGAACGAAACAATTTTCCGGAACAGTGGCAACATAAATCGAAAGAAACAATAGCAGCATGTTTCCGGGTCTTTTTGGCTCGTATAGCGAAGAACGCGTAAGTTTTCAATTTCGACTCGCTGTTCAAGAAATTGTTTCATGCGCTGACTTGTTCTGTTCGTTTGTTGCTCCGCGTTCAGGTTGCGGACGAATGAACCCTGATTATCCATGAAGTCAATTCATTTTTCGTTTCTTTTTTCTTATCTTTCTTTCAACTCAGGTGCCTGTAAAAAGCGCATGGAAAATGGAAAAGAACGGCGTTTCCGTTGCTGGAGGCGGGGAAAAAATCCCGATGACTGCTGTGGAGGGACTCTCCGATACGTACTAAGGGTCGGTCGTATGAAGGTGGAGAGAAATCTGCAGTCGTCGGAGCCTCTCTTCAATTACCGATCCAGTCGAGCGGTCTTCTAACCAACCAAATGGTTCGCTGAACTGCGTGTGGTTTTCATTCGAATTTTTGTATTTCGAGAGAAAGAAAGAGAGAGAGAGCGCACAAAACAGGAAAGAAATAGAGAATGGAACAAAAGCGCCTGGCTTTGCTGCACCGTTTTGCGGAAACGGAAGGACCGAGGCGACCAGTCTGGTCGGAAGGAGAGGGAGAGCAATTTCGCCGTGATTCAGTTTTGCGGCATTTCCTATTTCATTCCTCCGGCGATGTTCGATTGTTCGTTTTTATTTTGCTCGTTTTTGGGGGGTTTTTTTTTAGCGCCTCGGCTTTTAGCTCATTTATTTTGCTTTGTATTTCAATACGGCGCGAATCAGTCGGGGATTTTGTTTCCCTTCGATTTCGTTGCCGGCGGAACTGTGATACTTTTACGGGGTTAATGAAATGAATCGTTTGTGTTTTTCCCATCATTTCCGAAATATTTATTTATTTCAACCCGCGTTACGATATAATTATCTTCACAACTTGCAGCAAGGATAAGAGCTATTTTTTTGTCGACAGAAATATTGTTTGAATATGTTTATTCATCTACTTTGAAGCCTCATAAGTTCATGCTTTGAAATTCTCCCGTGTCTCCGATAAAATTCCAACGATTATCTTCGATTGCAACCCCCGCTTGGAAACTTTTCCTCACAGATGAACACCTGAAAACCATCTTTAATAAATACCAGGTGACATTTGCATCTGATGTGCGACAATGACAGATATATAATTTTAAATGATTGGTTGCATTCAAACTAACGGCAACAAATCTACATTTTTTTTCTCACAGTGATGGACGCATTGTATATGCAAGTCTTCGTCCTCCCATTGCTTCCGTTTAAAAAACTCATGATCTGAACAATAATTAGGAAACTATGGCCTCTTCAACTCCAATAATACTACTTTTTCTTCTTAATCGAAAAAAAATTAAGTGTGACGGAATAAACCGGTTGTTGAAGAAATCCAAATGAGTAGACATGACTATACCGGTACAATATTTTAGACTAAAAAATGTGTCACATGCCCTCACGTGACATCACAAAACCACCAAACGACACATCATCATCAATAAATAATATTATTACAGTGCAATTCATTCAATTAGTCTGCGCACAAGCAATCAACTCCTCAATAATCAGCCGATCACGTGAGCCCTTGGGAAAAACAGATCTTTTGTTCAATTGCTTTGAATAGTTGGAATAAATTAGATTTTCATTTAAGCTTCTTCCTTTCTCTTCGAATTTTTCGACGAATTCTTAACAAAAACCATTTCTCGTTTTATGTTCTCCAGTATTATTCAATCTTTCCCAATAACTTGGCCTGATAAACACGAAGGAAGTACGGTATACAAGAATTAGACTTGGAAAGTATATGTGCAATAACGAAATCAAATCCTCTGGGCGCTGGAGTATTTCTTGGTCTTCTGAGTATTGCTACAGAGCAAGTCAGCCTGGGTTTCATTTAGCGCAAGCTGTTGAAGTTTTAGCGGGTTTCTGAAGGAAGATTTTTCGCAGATAAGACAGTTTACAGGGCTTGTTTCTGACACGTCAAAACGGAACTAATAGCACCGTTAGGCGTTTGGGAAACCCAAGCTTTTCGAGCCGCAGTCAACCGTTCATCGTTTTGCACATTCGGGGCGTGGTTCTGCGAGAGGGGGAGGGAAGACGCTTTTGCAAAGTTTGTCGAGGCTATTAGTGGCAACAACGAAAAATAGCAGGAACAAGTAAGACGCGCAGAGGGAAAGCATTTGCGAGCGGAAAAAGTCGGGGCGGACTTCGGCGCAGATTTTCAGCGCAGGAATTCTCGTCGAGGGAAATTTGCCAGAGGATTTTCCTCTTCTCCTTCTCTTCCTGTACATACTAAGACCGAGAGAAGAGCTATTATTAGCATGCGGTATCTTTTTCTTGCTGTCGTGTTTCCGCCGGCTTTTGGGCGTCGCCAAGCATTCATGGCTGTCGCAATGTTTTTTTTTCTGTGCGTGCCTACGAATGCCCATCTTCTTCATTTTTCAGGATAATGATAGGCAAATTCTGGCAATCGTTTGCTGGGCGAAGAACTGTTGACAAAAGCTGCCTTTTCTTGTGCATGTTCGTGATCATTCATCTATTTAGGCGGCTTGGGAGAACGTAATCTCCGAGCAGTGTGGTGGGGCGCCGAAAATTCTTTCGAGCGCCCTTTTGTGGCCACAGACATGATAAAAATGCATGGCATTCGAGTGCTACAAACGCATGATGTTACCCTTTATTACGTTACAATTATCACCCATTTGAGAATGTCCGATCTGGTGAGTTTCCAAGTAGCACGGAAAAGACTGAGCAGCGTTACTGAAGTGGCAGGACAATTGCCATGAATGTTTGTCCAAATATTTTGATTAGCAGGACATAACTTTATGCATTAAAAAATTGATTCATGCTTGAATGCAAAAAAAAAACTTCTCAGAGTTCTTAACCCTCGGACGGCGGAGGGTTCATTTCCATCGGGAGGCGAATTCGGGATATTTTCCGGGGGTGGAGCATTTCAGTTTGACCCAAGGTCGCTGAAATGCTCCCAGGTTGAGAAGGCCTAAGTCGGATTCATCCAAAATTTTCTGCAGGATTAGAAAAAAATGTCGGACTTTTTCCCGACTCAGGCCTTGGTACAAAAGTGGCATTTTTTTAATTCCCAGTTCTCAGTGACAGGAAATTTTGCGAATATATCCTGACTTCGCCGCACAAGGGTTAAACGATGTACAGCAAAATCAATAATTTCCTGGGATTTAATCCAAAATACGGTACTGCAAAGAAACTTTCTTCTTTGGAGCGTTTTTTTTCTTTCTTTTTTAAATCCCTTTGGTTGTTCCAGAGCTAAGTTTTCGACCCACATATATGCAATAGGGAAGAAAAATGGTTGAAATCGGAACAATTTCCTTTTTTCATTTCCACATGGAAATTCAAAATAAACTGAAATCAATGTGAAAACTATCCATATCTTGCAAAAGTTGTTGACCTAATTAACTTTAATGCGCGAGATTTTATTTAAAGGGATACAATTCGCAAAACAAGAGTAATTTTCTGCCTTATTTCAAAATCCGATTGAAAAAAAATTTTAGATGTAGATAAGGCGTTAAAAAATTTGCCGAAACGTCCCCAAAATTCATAATGTTTTGAAATATGATCTGACAATTTTCTCGAAGACCGCTTATTTTGAGTCTGCTCAATTCAAGCAATTTTCGTGATTTACACGCTCATACTTCTAAATCGTTTGTCGCCATTCAGATTATGAAAAATCCTCTTAATTTGATTCGGAATGTTACACATGCTTCTTATAAAGAAAAGCTGAATATTCATTTGTTGGTTCTCAATGATATTTAATTTCAGAGGGTTCCTCTAACGGCTGAAATTAATTTCCGAACACAAATCTGGAATTCATAATTAATCGCATTAATTGCGGATTTTCCGACGACATGTGGATTTAGAAAACTATAAAAAGTAATTTATCTCATGTTAAAATAGTGCGCCTTCACGTCCATCAAAGACGAATTGGATTCAGTTTCAAGGTTTAAGCTTTCAAACCAGTTGTTCACTTATGGCCTTATTTGCCATGTGTCAATTTTTAAAAATGAAATTTATTAATGCTCTGAGATTTTATGCCGTTATATAAAAGTATATGCTTATAATAACCGATAATCTCGTCAGCATCAGGCTGTGACTTTAAACGCTTCGGCGAGAAATTAAATTTCGCTGTACCTCGGGGCAAATCCATTATGGAGAAATAAATTCAATCTCATTCTGATCCGAACCTAGATTCCACGCAATTTTTCCATTTTCCCTTTTTTTTTCTGCATAGCACTCACTTCTTTTGCCAGGGACAAAGTGGCTAGTTGAGAATTCATGAGCAGGTGGGGTTTTTGATTTATTCGCGAGAATCGCATCAATTGATCTCAGACTCAAGTTCACAAGCGCCGCTGGTGACTTTTTAATTGACGGTTGATCAGTGGCTCGTCGCCCGAGGATTTTTGATCGACCAGCTGCTTCATGACATTCTCTTTCTCTCTATCTCTCTAGACACATCTCTTTCTCTCATTTCTCTAGATTCATTGCATATACGCACAAAAAGAGAAGGAGAATTAAAGACAGGCGACCAGGCGTTTATATTCCCTGGAGTGTCGTCGAGAGTTGTGAGCCCAGGCTGAGGAACCATGCCGCTTAGCTGCTCCCGCGGGGGGGGGGGGGGGGGGGGGGGTTTGATTCAGAGAATTGATAACCCTTCGTCGACTGGGTACGAAACTCGTTAAAAGTCCGGAATCCGACAAGTGATGCCGCGTTGCGATAGCCTCCTCCTCCTCCTCGCCCCTCTTCGGCACGTACGTCCGAATCCACGCAATCCTCGCGCCATAATGCAGGAGAAAACCCTCCGCGACGACACGGGTTCGCGTTAAAAACACTGGGTACGTTCTTCATGCTGCCCGCCGTGATGCTATAGACCTGCTGGGCCCGGAGGAGTATGGGGGACAAAATGCCCTCATGGTTAGGAAGTTTGACTGCGACAGAAACCCAGGGAAAAGGTGGTGGTTGCGCGCAGTCTTGGATTTCTAGCCTGGACTCGCTCGTGGTGACAAAAAGGTGGCTTTCTTGATTTGAATTCCTTCAGGGTACCTCCGATGTTGGAAAAAAAAAAGACCTGATGATGGAATATACAGAGTAAAACCTTAATATGTGACACAGTACTGTATATCCAATGTGTTAATATAGAGATATATACAGTATATTAGGTTCAAATGCTGTATGATATTTACTCGAGTATCGAGAGCACTCAAATAAGATGTGCACGCTTATTTTGCACTAGAGAAAAATTTATGAAAGCGTATCCTTAATCGGCGTATACGACAGGCAATCCATCTTTCATCGAAAACTGTTCAGAAT